GGGGAATTCTGGGAGTTGAAGTCCACCCATCTTAAAGTGGCCAAGTTTGGACAACACTGGTGTTGGCAATTCATTACCTAGCAGGAACCTCCAGCAGAAAATTAACACCAAGGAAAGCTTCCACGTAGACATCTCTAAAAGGTAAATCAGTATTATTGATACTGTTGGTGCATTCCCATTTCAGATGTCTACAGCGATACGCACAGCACTGCATCCACAAACTCAGATATGAAGGTGGGGGAGCTGAACAGAAGCTTAACAGCTGGACAGAAAGCTGGAAGCTGAGCACACCGGGAAGCATTTCCTCAGGGCTCAATCTTCTCTGTTTACCTGGAGATGCTGGACCAAATTGCCTTTTCCCCAAGCTCTGGATTTCAGAATTCAATATTTTGTCAACATGAAATACATAAAAAAGAAGAAGAAGAAGAAGAAGCCTTGCCGAGCTAGTAAATTTGAAAATAAGTTAAATTTTAAAGGTGTCAAAGTTATCTTAGTATTCGACAAAACACACCCACTGTATGCTTTTTTGCCCTGCATTTTTGAACGTCAAAAAAAGGCATCATCTAAATTAGACTGACAACAACAGAGAGTTATACACCCTCAGCTTCCAGGGCTGAATGCTGGATTCGTGAAACTCAGATCTCCAGATTCTCAAGGTGATGTTCTGCTGGACAAATTCCTTGTGTTCCTTTGCTGGTTTGGATGGGCTGCCCAGCCTCTTGTTTTCTGTGGCTCGATCCACTTCCGTGCTGTATCTCAAGACAATCAGAAACAGGGAGCACCAAAAAAGGAAGCTGAGTGAAGAAAGTGCAATTCCAGAACCTGAGCCAATGGTTGCACCTTTGCACAACAGCGAAAGGTGTAACCTGTGTTGGGTTATAATCTTTTGTCTACAGGGTGTTTTGGATGCTAACTGGAAGCAAATAGGCAGTTTGTAACTCAAAAAGGGGATGAGGAGAGGGCTTTCATGAAGGCAATTCTGGGGTGTGTTCGTGGCATCAACAAGGCAGCTTTGTCCCCCCCCAGAAGTTTTGCATCCAATGCTGACAGTTCTGTCTAATGCTGCAATTCAGTGTTTTACACTTGTGTAGAATGCATTTGGGCATTGTCTTATGCTGGGCTCTGGATTAAAATGCAGAGTTCCTTCCCCCACCCCAATATTTAATGCATCCCTATATAATGTCCCCCTAACATTGAGGCACTGGCGAAAAGAATGACTGTCAAGGAGAACATGTTGTCTCTTGAAGGTTTCTTGCCATGTCATCATATTTCAGGAAAAAGCATTGCAGCCCTCTGAACAATGTCACGATTTGCCATAGGCCTTTCAATTTGCAGGATTCAAGGCGCATGTGAGCACCAGAGGGAGGAAATTAGATGTAAAAGTGTTTTGCATGAAGACATTTTCATGGTGAATGGGAAAGTTAGGTTCCGCAAATCTGCTGGTAGTGTCATGTTCAAAACTGTTTTTTTAAAAGTAGGAGTAGGATGACTCAATGGGTACTATATAGAAGCCTGGTCAATCAAGAGAAATCCAAAGAATCTTCTCTGACCCCTGGCATGTCACAACTCAACATAATCTGAAAGTTGTGCTCCTGGAGCCTTAGCAATGGCCCAAGTGATGCACCTCTCAGATTGCATGCCTCTTGATTGGAACATCAGTAATTGGCCGTGGCTGCTTGAACAGTTTGGCTGATCCTGGAATCCCACATAAAAGCAAAGAATTTTCCTGGAATAACGCTTTGTCCTGCAAGGCTACGGCTGAAACGTTAGGCATTTTCTTGCTAAATGTGCCACATTACAATTCAGTTTAGGGCAGTGGTCCCCAAACTCTTCAGCTCATCAACCCCTTCATGAAGTTTCAGATTGTTCATTGGTCCCCAACCAAAAATTATATGAAATTAATAAATGCAACTGTAATAGTACTATGAATAATAATATTATAATAGTAATATAATAACAACAACATTGACCCTTTGTTTGGTTATCATTTTGTTTCTTATTATTCAGCTGTGAAAGCTGGCAGGGGTGACTTTGGGCCAGTCACTCTCTCTCAGCCCAACCCACCTCACAGGGTTGTTTTTGTGGGGAAAATAGGAGGAGGGAGCATTATATCCATTATCCTGAGTTGCACGAAGGAGAGGTGGGATATAAATCTAATAATAAATAAACCTATAAAACGTCTTCAGTTTGCAGAGTCATGAACAGTTCAGCTCTCTTATAAAGTGGCCCACTCCCAATCTTGTTTTAAAGATGGAAAATTAGGTGCAGAGCCAAATTATTTGATCAGCAAACACATATGTAGGCCCTAGGGGTATCTAACAGGAGGGGGGGTCAAAATCGGCAAAATGGCAGGAGGAACCTTGATGTCAGCCTTGCGAGGCAGTCCAGACAAGAAGCACACCCAGAAGTACTGGCTCTAACTTTATTGTAAGATTACATTAACAGAATCTTGCAAGTCTGAAAGCGCATCTCTCCCCCCATTGCCTTTACAGGCCAAGAAACTAGGGAGGGTCCCTTCTGAGACGTTTGCCACACCCCATTCCTTCTGTGGGCTCAGCTACCGCTTATCTGACTCTTCCCTTCTCTTCCCCCGTCTCCCAAGTCATTCCCACGTACCATTACATTTGCAATGCAAACCCTGCCCCTTCCAAATGCACATTCAAAAGGGGAGGAGCTTGTGCTACAATGTTCTATCCGCCATCTTGCTGATTTTGCCTCCTCCCTCTGGATGCCCCTGATTGGCCCCATTCCCACAACTTGCTTGCTTAAGATAGGGGAGGTAGCGTTTTGTGGGAACATGAAAAAGGGTCAGTCAGTTGACTTCTGGGTTAAACACCCCGTGGCATTAAGAGAATGCGTTTGTGCCATCCAATCCTGCCAGTCCAAGGAAAAGTGCTGGGGACAAAGAGCAGCTGATGAATGCAAACTGCACAGGACATGCATCCCAAGCCCTGATTGGCTGCAGTGGTCAAGCGATGCCACACCTCTGCTGCCGGCCTGGCCAATGGGGATGAGGCCACAGCAGTTGGTGATTCTTCACCCAGGTAGCATCACTATGAAGTCCCCAGCGCGCTCCTTTTTAATGCAGAAAAGCGTGCAGTCATCAAGTCCCCAACCTGTCCTCTAAAGCAGTGTTTTTCAAACTTGGCAATGTTCAGATGTGTAGACTTCAAGTTCAAAAAGTGAAAGTCCACACACCTTAAAGTCGCTGAGGTTTTGAGAAACACTGCTCTAAAGTATACCATCTCAGCCCTTTGCTCTGTGACCTTGGTCACACATCATGCTGTTGGGATTTGCTTGCTTTTGGCTTAGTGTCCTATGCGAACCAAGCTGTCACAATGTGCTTGATAAACCGGTTAAAACAAACTATGGCTAAGATCGGGGTCAGCCATCTGTGGCTGCCTGAAGTCTCCAAGATCACATCAGTGAATGTGGTGACAAAATGGACAATTTTCTTGGACCAATTTTGAGGGGTTTTGTTTTCAAATGGAGATAGAGGCCCCTGGGAAATAAATTTAGAATATAAATTTGCTAAATAAAAAACAAATAAATAAATGAACAGTTTTCTTTTCCCAACATATACCCTAACCTCCCCACCCACCTTCCCAAATCATTTTGCAGGCATTACTTTATTCTGTTTTCAGGACGTAGAGATATAAGATTGGAAATGTGGACAGTTTACTTCCTCCTTTCATGAATTTCTATATAGAGAATTAGGAGGGTGTTGGCTGATCCTCATGACATTTTTCTGCTGTTCCTCACAGAAATTTGGGAAGCTTGTTCATGCAACTGCGACAAGTTTCTGGCATGCGCAACTGTTTCACTGAAACTTTTGTGCATCAATATGGAGAAAGAAAGTTGCACACCAACTACAGAATAGAATGAGCTTTATTGTACCCCCAGGTCGGAACAAATAAAATAAGATAGAGTTTGAGGGTAAGTTTGAACTTATTCTCAAGCTGCTGAGTGAGGTTCACCGTATTTTTGAAAGTAGTGTAACCTTTGGGCTCAGCTCAAGAGGGCCGCAGGATGGAGGCCACAATGGTGCAACTGAAGTTCCACCTGTTTTTATGTCTGTGGCACTGTCGTGGCAGCGATCTTTTTGAAGCACACCCTGCAGACCACCCAGGTTCTACTGCACATAGAAACCACAAGATTATACTTTGGTCAGAAAGATTTTGAGGGCTGGGATAATTTGCTGATGGACCCCCTCCCTAGAATAGTAAAATGTTAAGATTCCCCTTGCATTAGACCATTATATAGTCATGCTTGATACCTCCAGCCCTGCTTTCTAGGCTAAAGATTCATGGAAAGTAACCCCCAGATATTTGAAGGGGGTACATGGTTCTATTAGCTGAGCTTGAATAATCCATTTGCCCTTCATGTTTCTGCTGTTGAAAACCACCTTTTAAAAAATTCCCTAATCCCAGATTTTTCATACTACAAGAGTTGGCCAATCTGATCAGCATTCTTTTTAACTGTATCTCCAAAGGAATTAAAGGTCCATGTAGAATCCATACCTCGGGATGAAGACTGTATGATAATTAAAGGAGACAAAGATTTGTGATCCAAAGCTGGTACTATATTATTAAAACAAAAATAAAACACACCTGGGAATCATCTATAATTGTGATTGCAGCAGTCCAAGTTTTAGGGGTTTTAAGTTCCAGATGGGCTTCCAGGTCCCATGGCATTCAAGCCAACTGAGCCAAACAATATGAGAAGACAATGCAGCCTGTATGGGATAAACTGGTTCCCCAAACCGTGCATGTGTGAAAAGAGTTGTAATGATAGAGTGTAACTTTAAATAATGGGAAATTCCATTCAGATGTCTTTTAATTTCTGTTCTGCTTTCCTAAGTATTACACTAATTGATCAGGATTCACACTGACAACTATCTTGAGGCATGTGAATAGAAAAAAAAAATATTGGTTCCATCTCAACTCATCAAGAGAGGTGTGTGGGCAAATGCCTCATCTTCTGCATGTCTGCATTTGTACAATGGATGCCTGCTGCACACTCACACACACTCCAGTGCCCTTTCGATTGCCCTCTTGATCCCTTGGTCAAGAGACTCTTACCATATTGGTTTGTTTTTTTTAAAAAACCTTACATTGCCCACTTTCAGTGGCGTGATTAGGAGACTGTACATCTCTATAAGTTGCAAAAAAGGGGGTTGGAGATGACGTGCAGTAGAACCTGATGTATAGGACATATTTCTGCTCTTGCAGAAAGGAGACGGTGTTCGGACACAAGGGAGAGATTCACTTAGAACACTTTGGCACCTTCTAGCCATATTTGCATCACAATCCCTAGCTTTCCCATTCCTTCCTTAGATACACTGAACAGCTGTGAAAGACATCTGGGGATTAGAAAGATACCATGCTATTTAAAACCATCTCCTTCTGTATTGCAAATGTTAGCCTCGTAGCTGCTAAATTCTGCTGCTAAAACTCCTTCTGCAGTTGTTATTTGCAGGGGCGTCTGAGGGAGAGGAGGATTAAAGAAAAAAAGAAAAAAATCAAGATGGCGGCCATGTCCACCTAACCAAAGCCCCACCCCTTTTTATACTTATCAATATAAAAGGGCGGGGCTTCGGTTGCACCATCATGGCCACCTTCTTGACTTTGTTATGTCTCCCCTGCAGACATCCTTGATTACTTGGCCCAAGATCTGTAATTTTAAAATTTGTTTTCCACGTTGAGGATAATGTTATTTGTGGTTCATTACTGCTGGAAGAGAGGCAGGAGAATTCTGCTTTCTTCCCTTGTTTCTTGTATCAGGACCGAATGTATGAATGTATTACAAAATGTGTGTTTGTGTGAAGCTGAACTTTCTGTAAATAGACCATTATGAACTGTGTAAAACTAGTCCTTGTTTTGACTTTATAAGAATTATAAATACCATATTACAAAATTCCTTGTGATCTTTTTCCTTACTTTAATTTTAAGTGCGACATGAAAATAAGATCAATCCATCTCAGAGGATAAAACCAAAACATGAACAGCCAAAGGAGATGTGCCATTAATTGACTGAATGCACCATTTGTATTTTTCTTATGTTAAATGCAGCAGCAAAATTAGTGGGAGGAGAGGCAGACACCTTAATTTTTGCCCATTTTTGAAAGAAAAATCTTTCTGAAGCTAATTTTTGATTAGGAGGACATGGCTAACAGAAAATACGTAAACACAGGGGCCAGTATGAAACCATTGCAGGTTTAGCGTGCAAAACTAGTCAGAAGTGTCCTATGATCCATCCATTAAAAAAAAAAATTAATTATCGGAGAATCATGTCAGAGCCAAAAACAGAGTGACTAGATCAGAATTAAATTATTGAGCATCATTTTCTTGAGTAGGGTATGTAACTCCAAGTCCTGATAGTATAAACTAACATTAGGCTGTTGTTCTTGCCCGGCCAATAAAACTCAGAACGTACTTATTATGGGTATTTTACTGTGTTGGAATGACTAGCTAACATGCTACAAAAGTGTGACTATTAAATATCAAGCTAGAATCACTGCTATGCAACACAAAGCCCAGCCAAAAGATTATTTCCTTTTTCTATCTTTAACAGACTTTTTTTTGGTAAGAAATGAACAAAAAGAGGCATTGCTAAGAAATATGTGAGCGTTAGAAACGTGAGGCGATGACCATGGACAGCCTTTAAAATTAAGTGAATTAAGCAAAGGAATTGCAAGATCAAAGCTTTGGAAGCCTTCAAAGAAACCAGATCAAAACTACTTGTAATGCAAACTGTGCCCACGAGGAGGCAAGAAGGCTTCAGGAAATGTAATTTTGGAATGTATTCTTTCACTAAAGGAAGCTTCTCATGTTGTCACACTTGTTTACACAACAGAAACTTTCCTCAAGAAGTTCATAGGGGTTATGTGTTGCAACTATCTTCCCTCCATTTTAGAGATTTTATCTCCTCAGTTACTCTGACTGAAAATCGAAAGGTTCCACACATTGTCGTTGAAAGCTTCTGTGATGTCTGGAAGGAAAAGCAAAGGGGTTATGTGATGCTGTGCTGAACATTTATCAGGTCTGTAAGGAACAATAAGAGAAAAAGAAGAGATTGGTTATTGCTAGTTATGAACAATTACATTCCAACTGTCCTTATTTCAGTGGACCTGTCCTTATATTGTCTTAAGGTGGATCATCCTAGCATAGCCTTTTCCAGCTTCTTGATGTGCATATAGGGAGATAGGTTATTATGTCCTGCAAACAGTGATTGTTAAGCAAGAGACATGGTTTGGGGTCATGTGCTTTTTATTTGATTAACCTATAAAATCCTACCCCAGCATTTGGGACTGTGAAGTTAATGGGAGTTCTACCTGGATGTGCTTCAGCCAAGGAGCAATCCTGATCACCAATTAATTTCAATTCTCCGTCGCAGTGATGAGAACAAAACTTCTCCCTAATATAGGTGGGTAGTCTTGGAATGCTTCTGAAGGAAAAGGGGGCAGGCGTGCAGTTTTGCCTCTCTGTCAAGCATGCCACAGAGAGCAGGAGGGCCATTTTAGGCAATTAACATCCTTGCCCGTTGAGAGCTACACTGTCTGAAGGGTGTCCTTGTCCCTGGTGCAATCCAGTTGACGATATTACTCCAGAAGCCACAGTGAAACAAGCTATTCCAGAAGAAAGAATCTATAAAAAGCAACTTTGGAGGCAGAGTCATCATCAACGTTTCACAGCTTTGATTCAAATAGTGGCACAGCCCCATAATTTTAAACCCTAGATTTAACCATCTTTCAGAGGGAAGGGCTGTTATGGGAAATCAAGGCAGGACAAACAAGTTCCCCAACTTTTAGAGGGGTTTGTTAACTGAGATATGCGTGATATTCAGGTCTGTGTGATGAAAGTGACTGTTGCGATTTTGTGTTTGGTTTGGTTTAAGAATTCTGAACTAAAAAGGTAGCGGAATGTGAACTTAAGCCAAAAGAACAGCAGTGAACATTTTCAAGAACTGGTATCTGAGCCAACATACTGTAGCTTAATAGTGAATAATAAAAAATGTGTAAACTGATAAGAGACTCCATTTCACTGTACAAAGGCTCATGCTAGATTAGTAAGATTACTCTCCAATCAACCCTCTTAACTTAGACAAGGAGAACTATCTAGGCTTTTGGTAATATAGGACCTTGATTTATTTTAATGTTGGTTTGTTTCACTTAATATGCTCTGTTTTAATGTACTTTTACAGTTTATTCTGCAATATTTCTGCCATATGATAAAACCAATCAGATTTTCCTGACCTTTTCTTTATTTACTGATTTTTTTTCAAAATGCAGGATAAGATATTCTAATGTGGAGGATTTCTCAATGTATTTATGTTACCCAGCAAATCTTGAGATATCAGTTTCTAACCCGGTGTTTCTCAACCTCAGCAACTTTAAGATATGTGGACTTCAACTCCCAGAATTCCCCC